AAATTCGCAAAAAAATTAAAGGCTATAATCTTTATATTACTCAGTATAATTTTACTAAATTCGGTAGACGTTTTTTGATTTCATAAGATACACATATCAGCAAAAAATAAGTTAAATAAATTTTACCAGTGGCGTACGGCAAGTAACACCTCCATCCTCTCTAAATTCTACGCCACCGTCCAAAAACTCATTTAGACTATAATTTTAATTTTTTCTTAAATAAATCATGTACTCTTGTTTAAAACTTATAAAAAAATCAAATTGTAGAAATTTAAAATAAATTAAAACAAAGAACATCCACATTTGTGTGCGAATATCTCGAAAACCAATCACTTTTTAAGTTTCCAACAAGGGTACAATATTTATGTAAAAAAACATCAAAAAATTTAAAATTATAGTCCAAATAAGTTTTTGGACAGTAGCGTAAAATTTAGAAATTACTTACCCATGCCGTTCGCCGGCACAGTTTATTGAACTGATTTTTTGGCCCTAAAAACGTTTGCCGAATTTAGTTAAATTATACTGAGTATCAAAAAAGTATAGCCATTAATTATTTTTGAATTTTCTACTTCAATACCCTGTATTTCGAAAATGAGTAACATTTTGCTTAAGCATGTTTTATTTAATCGACTTATTTTTAATCAGAGAATCTTCAGTTGTTCTATGTCCTATTCTTAATTGATACTTTAAATAATGTTAATATTCTGGATGGTCTATTTAAAATAACGTTTTAATGTTAAAGCTACGTCTAACAAATACCTATATATTTTTTAAATGCCCTGACTATTTTTGATTGGTAAATATTTGAATTTATTAAAACTTCAAATTTACCTGGAAAAAAAAACAATTTAAAATATTAGGAAATTTGGGACATACTGAACGCCTCCATTTTAAAAACACTTGAATATATCAAATAGGTACGAAAGATTATGGGTTTAATAAATCCTTAAGAAAATTACATCATTTTTTTTTGTGTAAATTTCAAAAATGGGTGTGTCCAAATTAAAAAACCTAACTTTGATTTGTAAATATTACTTTCCTGAAAAACCCTCTATAATTATTTTTTTTATTGCTTTTTCTAATAAACATACATCTTGCAGAGGAAACAGATTTAAAAGACAATTAATTTTGGCTCTACAAAGTATAACAATGGTCCATCCTGTATACTTACTTTGATATGTATTACTTTCCTGGAAACTCTGTATAATTGAAATTATTTTTAAATTGTTGTTTTTTCTAATATACATCTCGTAATGGAAACAATTAGTTCTAACTCTACAAAGGCGTTACCGGTGGCTCACCCTGTATGCCTACCTTTATATTTTTTAATTCTTGTATTTCTAAAAAGGGAAAATGAGTTTTTCTACACACCTTAAAATGATCCCATTTAAAAAACCTAACTTTGATATGTATTAATTTCCTGGAAACCCCTGTATAACTGAAATTATTTTTAAATTATGACTTTTTTAAATCCATTTTTATTTGAAATATCGAGCAACTACGCACTAATGGGATACCCTGTATAAGAAAAAGTATTTATCAAATTACAAAAAACTCATATGAATTGTTCTAGGCATGTTTAAATATTTAATAATAAAATAATTAATAAAGCCAACATATTCATTGTATGATGTAAAAAAAATCATCAACCCCAAAACAATATTAATACTATGGTTCTAAACATAAAAAAAATATATTAAAAGAAAAGTGATATTTAATGATATCAATTATTAAACTTAAGTACTGAAGAAAGTCTAAACTGGGTACCAAAAGCTATACAAACGTGAACCAAATTGTTTTAATCCAACACCTAAATCCCAAGAAAACCAAAAATTACAAAAAAAAGTTATTCTTATTTCAAGATAAAAGCGTTCACAGAAATGTAGAGAAATGAGTTTTGAAGAACCCTGTATACTCTTCTACTTAAAAAATCTTAATCAATGAATTGTAATTCTAAAGTCGAAGATTCAAGGTCGAAAATAAAACATGAATCATCCATTTATCTCTTATAATTAAACAGCTATGGATCAATTACGCACTGATGGAACACACTGTATTTAAATAAATAATGGGCTAACATGTTGGTCTCGTTGGCTAGGTAAATTAATATACTCGAATTTAATGCTAAAATAATACTGCATTTGAAAAGATATAGTAAATGACCCATATTTATTACAGGTTTCAAAACACTCGGTATAAAATGAACCTCACTTCTATCATCACTATACATTTAGCTTGGCATCTTTTAAGTCTACAAAATTTAATTCTGAAATCGTTGCAAACCTACCTAAAATATATTAATTTTATTTTGGACCTGCATTATTCTCCAATTTCACAAAAAAAAAAAACAATTGCTTGTAACCCTGTAATATTTTTCAAAAATATTTCGGAAACAGACCATTCTACAACTAAATTAAAACACCGGATGTTCTACTTAAAAATTATACATTTTTATTTGCCCGGCAATAACATAACACCCCGTAAATTCAAAAATATTTTCAAAATACCTATGCTTTTTTTAAGTTCATATAACTTTTATTTGAAACTTGTTTGTGTATCGATAACACAAATTGAAATATCAAGCAAGTAGGCAATAATTTGACTGTATAATAAACTAATAAACAAAATAAGTAACAAAAAAACAAATTGTCAGCGAGAAAGTATAGACTACAGTGAACCAATAGACAAAAAATATTTCAAAAACCCTTTTTACATTTTACATTGTTTTTCTAAAAAGAGGTAAGTATAACGCCTAACTTTTTATTTTAATTTTAAAAACACATTTCAGACGTACTTTATGATTTCTACCTACTATGCTTGACTACCTATCTACGTATCTACCTAAACTCAAGAGTTATGAGCATAAAAAAGGACAATCTTGTTTAAAAATTTAAAGGAAAACTGCTTACCTTGTCCCTATGGTCTTAAATTGAAGATCACATTGTATCAAATCACTCTGTACATAATTTATTTGAAAATTTACACAATTATTCAAGCAATAATTAGCATATTTTTAAGACGTTACAGCCATTTTGTGTTAATAAAGTAAAAAGAAAAGGTGACAGATAGTGATCACAGACAACTAGACAATTTCGATATTCCTCGTTATATTCTTTACTGTGGTTGGCCAGGTTTGTCTAATAAATGTACTAAATATGATCGTAATTTTGTAAAATTTATATCAAATAAATACGTTTTTGTATAATTAACGCAAATAGCTTCTATTAAGGGTGAAATGTAATTTTAAAATAAACTTTTTTAAATGTAGTACAGCGATTGGTCCAGGAATGCTCTCTTCTGTCATTTTTAATAAAAATAAGACAGGATTACACAAACTACACTTATTGATATTAAAGGAAATAAGATTAATGGATTATAAATTTATAATTCACATATTATTTAGGTGTGATTTGGGAAATGTAATATGTATTTTGTTAATTAAACTTATATTCCAATAGGTAGGTATATCGCTAACAAGTGTCTCATGCCGGCCTTTTTGAACATTCGCATCGAGTCATTTTGAGACGCGTCGATCGGTAACATTAAACAGAGCCGGCTTTATGTCCAGTGTTAAAATTAATTCGAAGTTTCGAATTTCTCAATTTTTTATCAATTTAAAGTTTTAAATATTGATATGGAAAGTAGAATTATATGATTGATTATACAGGGTGTATCAAAAAGATGTAGAGTAAATTTAACCTTATCTTTTGGGGTTGCAAATAAATCGACTTAAGCTAACTTTCTTTTAATAAAAAATGTCACTACCAATTTTGTCAGGCCAATAGAAAGGCCAGGTCCAAAATGTATTTGGTTGGCTGCTTTCTTGGCTAATGAAACAGCAAGCCGGTTACCTTTCGATGTGGCGTGACCTTTGATCCATTTTAAGGTGACCACATTGTTGATGGATACTTCGGCTAAAGCTTCGTGACATTCTAGTACTAATCCTAAGTAAATTCGTGTAGTGTTTGTCAGCTATCTGTATAGATGAGTATGTTCCTTCCAGTGATATTATTTCTGGGGACTTCTTTTGCTGATATGAGAATTCTGGTGGGCTAGGTTGAGCTAGACTGGCACTATTACTCACAGCCCACTTTATGTTTAGGTTTAAGGATCTGGAGTAATTCCACATACTTAGCCACGTTTTGTTTTAGAACCGTCGGTGTAGTTATGAATCGTACCTGCCACTTCTGGCTCTTCTATTTGTTCTGGTATAACTTTATTTGGCTTATGGAAGATATATCTCGGTAAGATAGAGTCCATGTTCGCTTGAAGCGACGATCAAAAGCGACGTCTAGCTTCACCAGATCCTACATAGGTTCTATTCCAACCGTGCGGAGGCGTGTAATTGTTATCAGAGCAATCTCCTTGATGTAAATAACAAGGGGAGTGAGACATTCTTAGTCTCACTTCCATGGCTCTGGTCATAGTGGTTTTTATAGGTTCTGTTATGTTGAAACTGTCCATTGAATTTCTTTTAGTTTGCGGAGGGCTGTCAATTTTTGGGCTTTAGGTGTGCAATGGATTCTTTTTTTTACTCTGTTTTCTAGATATGAGTTCCATGTTAACTTGCTGTTGAAGGTGAAACCTAGGTAATTTACTTCTGTTGCTAAGTTTAGTTTTGTGTTTAATAGTTCTGGAGGTAAATGGTCCTTGTATTACTGTTCTATAATTTTTGAGAGCAACTTGCATTCCCTGATTGCAGAATGACCAGGTCATCTGCATACGCTATTGTGTAGAGACTGTCAATATTGAGGCGGCTGATTAGGGTGTCGAGGACTATGTTCCACAGTTGAGGTGAATTACGCACTAATGGTACATTGTATACAAAAATTGATGGGTTTTAGAATTTTTATTTATGTGTACCGACTTACGAAATTTATTCCTTGCATTTGGTCGATACTGTATATTTTCAGTAAAATCGACTTTAAATATAATAACTGTCAATTTTTCTCTAAAATTATATACAACTCTGTATAATTTAAATTTTTTTTTTGTTTCAGTAAACTTAGTGCCAATAATAACCACTGTCAACCTCCAACATACTTTTCGAATCAACGTACAATCTATACCCTCGCCAAACGTACCCCCCGATAACAACTTCATCCACAACACCCCCAAGAAAGAGTTCTCCATGGACGAACTTCCGGACACAAGATTCGACTTCTACGATAATAATCCACCGTACAAACCGCAAGCCGACGAAACTTTAGACGAATTCGGCAGACCAAGGCGACCTACTCAAGTAAACGTGGAAAAAAATCGGTTCAACTTCAACCCCACGCCCCCGCCAAATAGATTTAATTTCAACCCGACGCCGAACGGAGGGGGCGGTACCAGAGTACAGAGTCCGGCGGAAGTGTACAAGACAAATCCGTTTTTCAGGAATATTACCACAGAGGATAGTGAGTATATTGGTCTATTATAAACATAAAAATATAGTGCTTCTAGAGGGCAATGTGCGCAGACCATGTGCACACCGGTTGATAACGATATTAATAGAAAATTTTATTTTAAAGTCTACAGTAATGATGGAATTACGTATTTATTTTCTATTTATTTATATTTTTATTTGCGGGTTAAAACCTGTTACAAAGGCACAGGCAATGCCCCATCTGGTCCCAGTGTGTATTGCCCATGTTACTTTATCTGTTGTGACTACACACTCTTGGCTAGAGACTCGTTTTTGAGAGTTCCAGTTCGTGTGAGTTTGGTTTGCTGCATTTGGGTTAGTTGTGCAATCAAGGAAATGAATTTTGAGAAATAATTCTAATATTTCCATTCCAGTTTTAGTGTATTCTCCTGTTAGGGCTTATTGAATTTTTGGCTAGAATGCGATGGAGACTGCATCCTTCAGTTGTGTTTTCAATTTCCTGACAGAATGGTTCTCCATGAATCCCTTTTAGAATCACCTCTTTTGTTATTGTCAGTGCTGCCCCGCGTGAATTTGTGTCTGCAGCAATAAGTACCTGCAGGTTTTCAGCCTGACAGGTGTGTACTTGGTCCCTCAGCTCATCTGTTGGTGGATGGCTGGGCAAGTCATAGGAAAGGTATGCAAAGGTTAAAATAAGTGGCCTCCTGTTATCTGTTATGTTTATTTCCATCCTGACTGCTACTAGGTCTCTAAAACAGAAATCTTGTAAGTTAAGGAATTCTAGACCATTACGTATGTATATACATACCCTAGTGTTTCCACATTGGGTATTGTATATTAACTTACCCTTGGGTAAAAAATTATTTAAACCTTACATATAAGTTCTGTTGGAGAAATAATGAATGCAACCATTTTATATTGTGTTTGCTGTATAAATTTGTGACAAAATTTACAGATTGTAGTAATTGGTCGTCAAAAGGAGGGATCTTCGTCTTAATTTCTCCAATCTTTGACTTTTTTCTATTTTTTTATTATTTGTTTGGTTCAAATTATTTTTAGACTTGAGAATGAAAATCTGCAGAAACTTAGATTTCGATTCAAACAATAATGGCAATGTATATTTAGTCTTATAGCCTAACTTACAAAGCATCTTTAAATTTAGACGCATGTAAAACCTTAAAGATTGTAAATATTTACTTTTTAAATGAGTTAAAGAAATATAACCTCATTTATATGAATTTTACTAATCACAGTAATGATTCAAAGTATGATTGTTCAATTGTTCAACTTTTTATATAATAATAATATCGTCTTTATTATTTCCAATATAAATTTACAATTTCCGTTTTTAACAATTATACAAGAATTATTATTAAAAATAAAGGGCGAAGTTCAGATTTGAGAAGGAGGATCCACCACAAAATCTGTTCTTCCACTTAACCAAAATATAAATAATAAGCATAAGCTAGTACAAAACTAGCAGGATATATTAAATAAATTTTAATTCATTAATTAATTTTAGTATTTGAGGAGTAATAAACTTTAAAAAATTTTAATTTTGTTTATTTAACAAAAATAGTTTGAGGCAAGGTTTAAACCTGGTTATATTTAATTTTATTAGGTTATTAGATAACTGACGTTTCTATATTAACTGATCTACACGTAGGTAACTATTAAAAAATGCTTTGTGAATACGAATGTTATTCTAAAATTTAACTTTTTTACAACAGCAAATGGAATCCCACCACATTCAACTCAACCACAACCGCTACCAACGCAACCAAAACCGCAATCAACTGCAACCGTTATACATACAAACCCGCCACAAAACTCTCCAGATTTGACATTCAGTTTCATGGACGACATTGATGTAGTGTCCAAAGACAGCACGCAGCCTATTAGGCCCTTCGATGAAGTGTGCGGACAAACCATAACTACGAATCATTTGATATTCGATGGACATGTGGTCCCCAGGGGGGCTTATCCATGGTTAGTGGCTATATTTTTGGTTAAAACGACCGGTCTAAATTACATTTGCAGTGGATCGCTTATTTCCAATAGGCATGTTGTAACAGGTAAGTAACTTTTTTTTATAATTATGATTTTTGGCGTATATACAAACGAAATTGTAACAAAGCGCCGAGAATTTGGGGACTGGTCTTCAAGATCACTAGATTTCACTCCATCAGATTTCAATTTTTAAGGTTATTCTAAATATAAATTATACGAAACCTCGTGCTAAGTTTTAGAAGAGTTACGTCAAACATTGTTTCTTTACATTTTTTACTCTCTGCTATCTCCTTGGTCCGTTTCCAGGATCCCTAGGGCTCAAGTGTGGTAGCCTTCAACGCTTGTTATGTCACCATTTGGGAATCCTACTGCCTCTTCACATTTTTGATTGTTAAACATAGAGGGGCCATCCTGCTGAGATATGGTCTCCCTAGCTAACAAGCATTATTAGTAAACCTACCGCACTTTATTATTATCGCTTGTTTCTGTTTTAGCGGCACATTGTGTCAAAACAGATCATAAGAAACTCCGTCCCAACGAACTGGTGCTGATTCTAGGAAAACTCAACATACAAAAATGGATTCCAGTGAACGGAGAAAAGATTGTAGAACCAACCGCCATTTATATCCATCCCGATTACGAAAGTCTTACTAGCGATGCGGACATAGCGATTATTATTCTTAGTGATTTTCTTCAGTTTACGAAGTACATCAGACCTATTTGTCTTTGGAGAGGAGATACAAATCTCGAAAGAGTCGTTGGTAAGTAAATGTGTAAATGTTTACATACATATTTCTATTTGAATACTGTTTGTATCTAAAAAGGAATATCTAAAAGATTAAATATGAAGTAAAGACATTGACCATGTTATTGGCAATTCATCCGAAATGGTTGTTCAATATCGCTATATCGAACAGAAACAGTTAAATGAGGTAGAAGTCCATCCAAATTCAGGGTCTATTTTTTAGTCTCCTTCACAAGATCTTCGGCCAATCTTAGATCGGTTTATAAAGTAGGTGAATTTTACCTTTCTATTAGTTAGAGTTATAGAAGAATCCTTTGAAAACCACCCATCTTAGCCTCAGCCACAAAAAATATCATTTAAAAATCTATAAAGCACGTTTCTTTATATAAACTACTAAATAGTATTGGGATTTGCATTCTAAGATATGGCACAGCATTTTTTGTGTCATCGGCTTCAACTGCTAAGGTTATTTCGCCTCGTGTTCTTTGTTACTGTTTCCCAGCGCCACTTTAGGAACAACACTGTTAATTAGAACCGAACAGTGAATGATCGAGTGGGGAATCCTACTAAGGCATCAGAATTAATTTTAAATAATGAAATTAACAAAAAAAAATCCCGGACAACGGTGGGATTCGAACCTGGGACCTTTGAATCCGCAGACAGAGACTCTACCACTCAGTCAACAACATTTGTTGAATGACACTTTTGGATAGAATTTCCGGAACCCGAAGAAATTATAAAATTACAAAGATATGAATATAATTAAACAAATAATCCTTATGGAATTCGGAACAAAAGAGATACAATACACCAAGATTTACAGTAAAACCACATATTTTGATGAAAGCCATGGTTTGGTCTGCTTTGCTCTTTTTCTTTTATTATCATGAATCAACTGCTTTCTGCTCTTTTTCGCCTCTACCATGATGTCCACTATGTTTTCCTTCGTAAGTCTCCCCACTTTTGATTCCACTTCTGCTCTTATTCTTAACTATCTCTGGCATTTAAGCACACTTTCTTTCGGGGTATCATTTCCTTATCTACAGCATCTGCATTCTGCGATTCTGCTTTTTCCTATTCTTGTGGTGTATATGCCAAACGACCCGTGTCCAAATAGAGCATGGGTAAGATAAGTCCGTTACTTGATGTTTACTTTCCATCCACCTCTTCAAATCCATGGGTTTTCTCTTTGTCTGCTTCCTTTACCCCTCTTGGCTCTTTCCGTATTCCCATCTTCTCTTTTGTATAACCTTGGTATTTCCTCTGCTGGCAGGTGTATAGAAAGTACTCTATAAGCTCTCGTTACTCTCAGTAGCGCCTTCCTGTATGATGTTCTGGAACCTAGGTCCAAGATCTGAAACCTAGTTGTTCTCAAATCGGGTCAGTTAAATAAAATGTGTTCTGCAGATTCGTCTTTGTTACTACAGAATCAACAATGATTACCTAGATGACAATGTCTTGAAATCAGGCCCGTAAGAGTGCCTTGATCTTTCCTACTCCATTCACGGAGCTAAGCTGAAGGGTTATATACAAATGACTTCGAATGAGTATGGGATATCTGTCTAGTACATGTTTGAAATAATTCATTCAGCAGAACTCTTTGCAATGCCAAGGAATGGTTTTGGTACCCATAATTCATATATTTTTGTTTTCAGGACATGCGGGCACAGTAGTAGGCTGGGGTAAAGACGAAAGCGGCGTGCTAATGACTGAGGAACCAAAACAGACCAATCTGCCAGTAGTAAGCCAGGAAAAGTGCCTTGCAAGTAACTACCAGTTTCATTACATCACATCTAATAGGACTTTTTGTGCAGGTAAGCATTTGGAGCATATGAGTTTTGTTAGGATGTTAAAAGTACACGTTGTTCCGATGGATTTATCACATGATTCATATCTAAGAGATTTCAACTTTACAACTTCTCTCTTTTTTAAAATAGCTGTAGTGGGTTCAGTTTTCCAGAAACAACACTGTCACGTTATGTGTCAAGAACACTAGATGTTTAAAACCGGTATTTCACAACGTTAGAAGGTATGCGTAATAGGTCGTAGCAAAGTAGTACCCCACTGCTGCCTGCTGCGAGGCTCAGCTCGTCAGATTTATACCATATTCAGAGTCTACCACGCGCCGTGCTAAGAAGACCGGAAAGAGGCTCGTTGCTTTTAATTTTCTGTAGATCTTTTAGCTCAACTTCAAAGGGTTAGCTCAGGCATGGCTCACCATGTTTATAAAGACAAACGATTCATGAATTACTATCTAATAAAACGGTTTTTCAACAATAATAATAAAAAAGAAAATATATGTACAACAATTGGCGTAGTTATTCTTTAACTCTTAACCTTTTCAGAGAGGAAAAAAAAACAATATAGAATTAAATTTGACATATAGTAGATTAATAAAAAAACTGAAAAGAAAAGCAAACATAAGAGTTAATATTTAAAATAATTGTCGAGCTATTGCAGCAATCTATTTTCATTATTTTACTGAAGTGTGAGTTAATAATAAATCTGGTTCAAATAAGTTAAATAGTTCAACAGAGATATATGTAAAATTGCCCTCGAAAATAGCTGAAAAGTGGTAAGTGTGCGTGTGTGTGTCTGACGTTATAATTATGAATACCATTTTTCAACATTTGTTTTTCAAATAAATAAGTTGTACATGAGCTTTGATTAGTCGAAATAAAAAGGCAAGAATACTTTGTTGAAGTAGGTAAGGTAGCTTAAGCCATTTTAGTTGTCCAATATGTTGAGAGTTAAAGATAAATCTGCAACAATTATTTTTAATATGTTGTACCTGGTCTTGAGGAACTCTATCCAGACAAGGGTAATATACAATATAACAATAGTTCAACAAAGAACACAAATGATTCGGAATAACAAAGAAACCTAAAATAGATCCCTGTGAAAACAAGCATTTTCTTTTCCTTTTTTTGTGTACTATTACCACTATTATGTTTTGTAGGTTTCCGAAATGGTACAGGACCATGCAATGGAGACAGCGGCGGCGGTTTCATCATGAAATGGGACGGAAAATGGATGTTAAGGGGTATCGTTTCGTTATCCATATCGGAGACGACCACAAAAAGTTGCGATCTATCGAATTACGTAGTTTTCTGTGATGCCAGCAAATACATAAATTGGATGCTGTCCTTTCTTAAATAAAGTTTTAAATTATTGAGGTGTTTTATTATATATCCATCCAATTGTATTAATAATTTAAAGCAATTGAGGTTTGTAAACGCAAAAAAATACAAAATCACAATAGATTTATTTTCAATGAGAGACAACAGGCGAAGTGTCACCGCCAGATGCCACTACTGAAACGTGAGGTCAATATCCCTAATAACACCGATCTGCCAGAAACATCCCATTTAGGTTCCATGTATGTTTCTATGTTTCTGACATAATTGGTACGTCCCTACGATGTCTCTGAAGGAACGTTTCTGGAATGATTTCTCATGAACGTTTTAGAAACATCGTTATTATGTTTTAGGTATTCTATTTTCGTTTTAATTATTTTCAAATATCAATAAATTATAAAATTACTGCAATCACCAGAAATCTACACTCATATCAAACTCCAATATTAAATTTGAACATTTTGAACAATATTTTTATTTCCAAAGACAACTGCTACAGGTCCAATTTTTCTTTATTAGTTCCTTTAAAAAGAGTGCAAAGCAAATACGACAGAGAAGAATATACCCTTCCTGACTCAGCAGGAGAGTTCGGTTAATCCTCCGCGAGCTGAAAAAGTACACTATTGAAGGAAGTCCTCGTGTTGAAATCTATTTTTTTGCATTGAAAGTGTAGCACTGAGCTACAGTACTTGTGAAAATATCGTTTCATTTATACAAATTGCATGAATGGAACGATATTTTCGATGAAAAGAAATAAACCCCATATTTGATTTGCTCGCGGAGTATTAATCGAACACGTCTACCGTCAAATGACAATATTGACATATGACAGACAGTTCATTAGTTGAGAGTTGAAAATAAAAAGGTGCTTCGCCTCGGTTATAATAAAGTTTGGAAAAGTTTAAACAACTTCTCTATAAACTTCTAAATAAACTAAAAGTGATAATAGGCGGCCGGATTGACGTGTATAGTTTGTACGTAAAGCTACATGAAAAATCACTTCCAATTTAAGGTTAATCAGGCTTGGCAAATGCAAAAAGAATCGTTTTACGTGTCAGATATTCAAGCTAAAATGAATAAGGTAACTTAATTTCCTTTAACAAAATGTGGCTTTCATACATTCTAGTCAATATTTTTTTGTTAACTTTAAAAATAACAATTTTAGGTATTGTGTTTTGAAAACCAAGGTACCAATAATGTGTGTGAATTTATTAGAAGATGCATAGTTCCCCCTCTCAAGGAACGAGTTTTGTAAGTTATTTTCATTCACTGGAAAAAAGGAAGACGCCAACTTAAAAATAGATGAAGCCATTCTGGGAAATTATTTCAACCTAATATCAATTGTTTATATTATCACTTAATTGAAACATTTTCAGATTCGGTAAATTGGTAAACAAAAAATAAATGGAAATTAAAACAGATGACTGGTTGTGGAGGGCTCCGAAAAGAAATAGACTCAATGAATCAGAGCGTAATAATTAACATTTTTTATCTTTTGTGTCAGAAAACATTTTTTTTTAATTAAATTTATGAAAAAAAGTAATTGATTTGATTATCCTACTAAAAAACGTTTAGGTCATTTCTAGAACATTCCAGCAATAGTATAAAAAACTTACCTAAGATGTTTAAGCAACATCGCAGGATGTTCCACAAACATCTCTGAGAAACGTTCCTAATACGTTATAAATGATGACATGGTCATTGCCAGAAACATCCCAGGTACGTTTGAGGGAGAATAAGAAACATGACAGAGATGTTTCTAATGTCCCAAGGGTATGTTTCTGGAACGATCGTGTAACAATACTGTGCTATTAGGGATTAAACGTCACCATCATATGGATGATGCGCTTTTTTTAATTTTATAGTGTTTTAAATGATATAGTTGAGAAAATAATGATTAAAATTGATAAATGGATAAATAGGTATCAATTAAAGTAAGGTATCTAAAAGAAGGGCTAAAAATAGAAGATGGTCCTGTATTAAACATGGGATCAGATCACTTGACACCTCGCCTAACCTTCAACAGACTCTTCCAGGTCAACTGCAACTATAACGAGGCAAATAAGGAGATAAAGAGATACTTCTTAGCGGCCTCGTATGGTATACGGATGGATCTAAAACTAATAAGGGAACATGGAATTAAAACCAAATACGACATTATCGTCTCACTGGGAAAACATACCACTGTATTTCAGGCTGAAATACATGCAATTGAATTGTGTGTACAAGAGAATTTAAAAAGGAAGTACAAAAAACTAACCATCCTAATTCTCTCAGACATCCAAGTAGCCTTAAAGTCAAAGCTTATCTGGAAATGCTTTGGAATACTAAATGATCAGGCAACCCACAATAAGATAAAACTAGCGTGAGTACCAGGTCACAAAGGCATCCAAAGAAATGAAAAGGCTGATGAACTCGCCAAAAAGGGGTTAAAACTACCATTCACAGGACCCGTACCTGTATTTGGGATAAGTAAAACCTCGGCTCGACAGGCAGTGAACAGGTGGATGACCAAAAAACACCAAATTCACGGGCACAGAATTAGTAAGCTCATGCTTAGGGGACTAAACTTACACCTGGCTATAGTGAGGCACTACAACTCGCAATGACTCAAATATGAACCATTGTGGGATTACTAACGGGGCACTGCTTGCTGAAACACCTTCATGTAATGGGATTACACAATAATACCACTACGTGTACACTCTGCATGGAAGAGGAAGAAACCTCATTCCATATGATCTTCGAATGCGAAGCTCTTACTAGGCGGCGTCTCATCCTTTTCGGCCTAGAACCGGAAAGAACGCCCCAGGTAGGGAACTAATTAAAGCCAACCACAGACACAGGACTATTCCAAAGATAGTTCCTGAATACGGGGAAAGCAGGGGAATACAATAAACTCAAGAGGCCGCAGTGTTCTCGGCCAAACCTAACCCTACCTGTTTATAACCGACAAAGATAAAGAAAAAAAGGGACCTAAAAGAAGGGCTAAGAAGAAGAGGTAGAAAAGTGACTGAAACTATAGAAAAACTTATTGAAAAGTAAGTAGTAAATTTTTAGGGTATGTATTTGAGCTAATTTCTGTTATATTTTAATAATTTCAGGCACAGATCTGTAATACTCACTGGATAAGATTTATACTATATTGATATCGTGACGGAAATCCAACGATTATATAAATTTGAGCACATTATGGTTGGCACATTTGAAAGAGCTGAATTATTTGTATGTAAACATTTTTTAGAATTAAAATTACTATTAAACTTGTAATAAATCTTTTCCACATTCATGAATTTAAGGATGGTAACAGAAAAACTATTTACCTTTGAAATGTATTTATTAATTATTGTGACGAAAGTCAAATTTATTTAAAGTTTATTTATTTAAAAACACACTATTTACAATTTATTTCAGACGTACTATTTAATTTATGTAATATTTAGACACTAACTAACAATTCTAATTTATTTCTTACACTTTAACTTTTCAACACAATGTTCTACATTAAACTAAACTCGGCGCTGATACGTCGCCTATTTATATTAGTCCAAATCCGCTACTGGAAAATACGAGAGGCTCTCGAACATTCCTTTTTATGACTAAGTGGCACTCTCCACCATTCCAGTCGCTTCCAGTGCTTCAGCGGCAGACATTCCGTCGTATTCTTTTACATTCGAGACGCGGTCCGGCTATTTCCACACGTCAGCGTTGCTTCGATCACGAGTTGATTGCGTGCGTATACATGGTCGGATTAGGAATTCATGACATTATGTAAAATGTCGCAAAGTTATAATTTTTTATTAATACTCTCTTTAAATATAATCTCAAAACATCAAATTAATACTTATTTTTTTCCTTTTTCACAATTCCAATTTTGTAGGAAATAATGCAGACTATTTTTCTTATTTAATTATTGTTATCTCGTATACCTTATTTATTATATCATTTGTTTATTTAATATTAATTAGTAATACATTGGGTATATCTGATTGCTAAAAAAGGTTAATGTAAGATACCCTTTGTACAGATTAAGTACCTGTTTTTTTGCGAATTAAACAAATTTAATTATCATGTACAGTCGCCGCAATCTAATTTTTCTGGAGAGGGGATGCGCTGTAGTCGATTTTTAATTTTCGTCACCCACCATAACAGTGTAAGAAGGGCAAATTTTTCCCCATCCCATACAAATTGCGATACATACAGGTATAACAAAATAATTATTATCATGTATCTACGTACCCAGACAGCACAAATAGGTCCATTGGACGTCCATTCGATATACAATTTTGGATGTCTGGACACTTTTGACCGTTCATAGGACGTCCAATTCTGGATTATATTTGGACGTTCAATACTGGGCATTCAAAACACGTCCATTCCTGGATTATATATTCCACTGAGACCACATCCTTACTTTCTTTTATAAAACCACACACTATTTTGTAATATTTATAATTTATTTATTATTTTCGCAACCCGCTATATACCATTTATTATTTTTTTTTATTAAAAATCACTTGACCAGAACAAGTATCGAACTCACGACACGTCTATTGTCTTTCTGGGCATTCAAGCGCTAGGCGACCTCGACCAAGGAGCCACTTGAAAAATTCTTACTAGATACGGTTATAGAAGAATAAGATTTCAAACTTCCGCTGATAGAATTAAATGTAATAGATTTAATTTGTCAATTTTTAATGACCAATTCTATTAAAAATATTAAAAATATATATAGGTGGGTATTATCTGGTAGGCTAAATAAATAATGACCTAAGATGGACGTCCACTGGACGTCAAAATAATACTAAACCTAAAATTAAGTCTAAAAACAGACGTCCTCTGGATATCGATATGCAGCTGTCAAATTAATGATCATAAACGGACGTACACTGGACGTCCGAATATGGATATGGATGTTCTGGCCCTCAAATGGATCTAAAGTGGACGTCCATTGGACTATGTGTGTTATCTGGATATAAACAATATTAATAGTGAAATCATATGAAAACTGTTTTTTTATAAATATCGTTTTATA